TAAAAATATAGATATTTTCCCTTTATAAATTTTACAATAAAGACTTTCATGTTGATACATGGCATTGCTCTGATTAAACTATATGTACACAAATAACATGCTTTTCATCTTTAAGAAAAAAATGAGATTTTTAAATATCAACTTGAAAAGCATTTTTAAATAAGTATTTCTTGAATTATTCAAAATGCTGTAACTTTTTTTTCTGTAAAAGAAGTCATTAAGTCACACAGAGTCAGAAGCAATTGAGAGTCATAGATAGGTGGTGAGGACTATTGTGAAATGAGAGACTGTGGAGAAGAGGTAACCAAGAGGGAGGGTATCCATATTTCAGTGGAAAAGTTTTTACAATCTGGATGTTGTCTTTATGTTCATCTAAAACTGCATGGTGGCAAACAAAAGAAAATAATCCATATCAACTATATGATGGTTTGTAAACATTATAATGTAGAATATAATATGTGATATAGAATATAACATTCATGAAACAAAAAAACTATATCTATCATAACCAGGGCATGTAGCACATTTCAGTTTTACAATAAATGATTATTTATTCAAATACTTGTACAGGATCATTAGGAAATGAATTCAGTTTAAAAAAAATTGGTGGTGAGGAAGTGGATTTTCAAGGTTAGTATGCGATTTACAAAATCTACCTAAATCATTATCTATCTATCTCCCTCCTTGTCATAGCAGATAATACATCTTCACAATTTTTTAAACAGAAAACTAAAGAACTTTTTTTATCTAAAACACCAAACTTTGTTACTCTAATAAATGGTATAACCATATAACGTTATCTTGGAAAACAGAAAATTAACACTCTAGATTAATCTACTTTGATCAAAGTTTGACCAAAGCAGTAGGATAATGATGGAAAAAAAGAAAGGAAGGAAGGCAGTCAATGGATCCAAGACAGATTGGGAGCTTTAGTAACGTGACTGACCGGAATCAAATAATAAGAAATGTTATCTTCTAGAGTTTCTGGTGTCTAAAGGTCACTCTGGTAGCATTAGTGGTTACGAATCGGGCTGCGAACCTCAAGGTCAGCTGTTCGACACTACCAGCTGCTCC